GATTACAGTTGAGATTAGAATTTCGGCGCGGCGGGAACAGAGCGCAGGTCCCTGTGCAGCAAAGCGCGCGCGCAAGCAAGAGGTGATGTGCAGTTACGGGCAACAATTCCGATGCACCCAATTTCCTAGTCTAATTAAAGTCCTAATTACAAAAAGAAATTCCGAGAGCCCGCATGGGCTCATTCTAAATTCAAAAATCCTGAAAGACTTACCCGCGCGATTATCGCGCCAAAAAGACGAACGCCTTATTTGAAAACAAAAGAAAAGAAAAGAAAAGAGAAAAAGGCCATAGCCGAAGTTGTTCCCCCCCCCGCGCTTGCTAAGGCGCAGGCCTACTGTCCCAAGGTCCATAGCCGCCACTTTCTCTCCCCCGAAGGACCAAGGAGGAAACTTCGAAAAATCAAGAAGGAGGGGCCGCCATGCAATTTATCGCGGATCCTTCTTTGTACCCCCAATCCCGGTTGCGCAGAAGATGGCACCTTAGAGAAAGTAGTTCGTCACATTGTTATCCTTATTGATGCTTTTACCGTCAACCACGACCATGCTGTCTTCGTTAAAGCTGTTTATGACGACGTTGTTGTTGTTGTCATCATTGTAGTTGCTGTTGTCGATGTTGTCGTTGTCACTGTGAACGTTGTTGTTGACGTTGCTGTTGTTGTTGTTGTTGTCGTTGTTGTTGTTGTTGGTGTTGTTGGTGTTGTCGTTGTTATTGTTGTTGTTGATGTTGACGTCGAGGTTATCATCATCTTCGTTCGCTCCATCCTCCTGGCAGACCTCATCCTAATTATCGTTATCGCCCGCCAGCCGCTCCTCAAGCATATAACACAGGTTGCGACACTCAGTGAAGAGGGCATAGCAAGCGGACATCATGCCACCAACCTTTCACCAATCGATGCAGGCTTCGAGCTGGGGATCCGGTCCCTCCTCCAGTATCCAGATAATATTCTGCATGTCATCGGTCATATCTTTCAACCAATCAGCCAGAGAAATCGCTCCCCCTTCGACCTCTGGCTCCTCATTTGACTGCGAAGACAACTCCCCCACCATCACTTGTAACCGCCCGCACCTTACATGGCACCCTAGGCCGCGGCCGCAATATCCTAGGCCGCAGGCCCGCGGCCTAGGCCGCGCGACCGAGTCCTCGCGCGGCCGCACCACGCGCAGGCGGGCGCGCCCCCTCAAAATCCGCGCGCGCGGTTGGCTTGCGCACGTTGGCC